CCCTAAACCACCCTAAACCCTAAACCCCATAAACCGTGAACCCTAGTCCACACCAGAGCCCAGAAAGCTCCAAATTGCCCATGAGAAACCCTGGGGCCCTGATACGCAAAGGGCACTGTTAGGAATCCGCGATGTAGCAGCGCTTCAAAGGTCTAAGGAGGTTCGGTTCATAGGTTTGGGGATTTAGGCTTTGGACCCCCCCCGCCCCCCAGTCCCAGAGTTGGAGGCAAGGGTTTTGGATGGAGAGAAACACGGGCGGGTGTTTGAGGTCTTGAGCCTCAAACTCCCTCTGTACCCAACTCCTCCCTTCACCCCGAAACCAGAACAAACGATACACTTACCAGAAACCATAAGCCGCCCTAAGCCAAAAAACGCAAACCCCCTCTGAACATAAAGTCTAAATCCTAGCCAAGACATCCTAAGCACCCCCCAAAATATCCAAAATCCAGCCCACGGTAACCCTCAGCAGCAACCCAACCCCTTCGAGACAAACTCACTCCCTGAACTCCCCTTGCTCGCTTCTTGAAAGCAGAGCCCCCTCAGGACCTCCAGCCATCGATTTTGCCAGGGTCCAAGCTTCGCCTTCGCTGGATCGGGCTTCGGGCTTGGGGCTTGGGGGTAAGGGTTTCAGGGAGGTTTTTGGGCTTTCGGATATTCGGGTTATATAGAGTTTGTATAGTGCCCCTTAAAGGGCAAAGAGGGTATTCAGGGCTCTTCGCCTGCACCGATCCCGTATAAGGCCGTAGAAGATAGCTGGAACTAACAGGTTTTTATGGGGTGTTAGACTGTAGGCTTTTGGGGTACTTGACAGGGCTTTATAGGGGTGGTGGCCTGAGGTCCCAATTCTGCGCGCTGAAGGGAGATGAGTCGTAGCGGATGAGAACACCCTTCATTGAGCTTTCGCTAGTGATAACAACTTTCCCGGTTACCTTCCCGGTTAGAGCCCTGTTCGTGAAGCTGGCAGCGTCAACCCATTCCTGTTGAAAGCATTGGGACACTCCATCCCTGCACCCTCAACCAACCCTAAGTTCTAAGCTCCAAACCAAAACCCTGAATCCTAAGCTTTAAGCCCTCAATCCAAAGTTCTAAGCCCTAAACCCTAAGTTCTAAGCCACCCCTCACAGTTTAGGGTTCAGGGTTGAGGGGTTAGGGCTTAGGGTGTGTCGACCAAACGTCCGCGGTAGGTTTCTAGTTTTTCGCGCAACGGAGCCATCTCGACGTACGTCCGATATTTTCAGCGCAGAGAATTCCGTCACGAATGTGGGGCTCTAAATCTCCCACTCCGAGAAGCCACCCAAAACTTTTGTAAAAAGCTTACGTCCTGAAGTGCGCCCAAAATCACAGAACATTTAGAGCAGGCGCAGAAAAAAGAACGGCGTTGTTTTACTGCAGAATGTGGTCGGGACCCCTTTGGGTGCACACAAGCACTGCAGGGTGGCCACGACCCCGGGGCACACAGCGACCCCGGATGTTTTAGAGCAGGCACACACACACAAAGAACGGCGCTGTTTTGCTGCAGAATGTGGCCCCGATTTGGGCACACACGAGCACTCGAGGGTCCATTTTTTGATCCTAGTTCAACAGCTGATAGGATTAAGGGACTACGGGAGGCTTAAGGGCAGGCACACACAGGAGGGACCTCGACATGGGCACCCGGCCTATTTAAAATGCAATTTTTATAAGCAGAATTTAGTAAGCAAAAACCAGGCAAAATTTTCCGGATCGCAGGAGGGCAGAGGCAAGGTCCCGGAGAGGGTTTGGAGCAGGCACACACACAAAGAACGGCGCTGTTTTGCTGCAGAATGTGCCTCGACCCCTTGGGCACACAGGGACCCCGGATGGTTTAGAGCAGGCACAGACAAGAAAGGTGCTGTTGTGGCCCGGACCCTTTTTGGGCACACACTAGAACTCGAGGGTTCATTTTCCGATCCGGGCTTGAACGAGTTGGGTGTAGGGTGGGGAATAACTATATATAGTTATCGACAGTACTGACAATATATAGAGTTTGACAATATAGAGTTATTAAGGAATGTTTGTACGCAAACATGCGCTTATTTGTAAATAGCTGTATTTATGCACCATAACGACCATTTACTTATTACCATTTACTTCTGGGTAAGACTAGAATGTCATTGGTTGAGATTCCCGACACGGTGTGTTACGCTCTTGAACATGGGAAGGCTTAAGCCGAGCATTCAGGCTTAAGTTTTTGAGTTTTAGCTCACAGTTTAGGGCTTAGGGCTTAAGGCTTGGGTTCAGGGGTTTGGGTTTGGGGTTCAGCGCGAAGCCGTAGCTTTGGAATCAGGCCAGGAGTTCCTTCTAAGACTCCCATGTGCATCCTGTCGTTGGGCTTCTATTTTGGTTTTTCCCGGACAGTGGTATATAGTGTATCGTACTGTGGTTTAGCATGGGGCCATGACGTCCTTGGCCTGCGTGGTAAACTTCAGGCACCGACTGCTGGGCAGAGTATTTGCTTCACTGTCTGAAGATGGGCCGCACCGTCCTGTTTTGAACACTTCTTTTCAGTTGCAGGTTTAGGGTTGAGGACTTTGGAAGTTTGGACCTCGTAGACCCAGAGTTTTCAACCGAACTCGAACTTTTAGCTCTTTGAGCTGAGCATCAGCGTCGGCACCCCGCGAGTGCTGGTGAACTGGTTCAGGCCTGCGGCTCTAGCTGCTATGCATTCTCGTTGGGTGTTTAGGGGCTTCGAGCATGATGTCACACTTCTCTGTCCCTAAACTCTGAACTGAAACCTTCCTCGTCTTAGGGCCGGAAACTCTGTGCAAGCCCAGAGAATCCACCATAAATCCCGGAGGGCAATTTGAATGAACACTTCAGAGCATTTCAGAGACCTAAGCGCTGCAAGCTCCACCATGAGAAGCCTGAAACAGGGCCCCCAAGCCCTGAATGACGAAAAGACCTATTCCAGGCTTGGCGCCAGGTTGTCCTGTCTGTGTGCCGCTAAGATGGTGGAATCGGCGGGGATGCGGCTTCTTGGGAGTTTGGGCTATGCCGGTTGCTGGTGTCATGTCTTCGGATTCGAGTCATTGTTGTCGATACTTGATACTACATATACTGCGTTTCGCTTTGGCCCACAGGTTTGGGGTTTAGAGCGCGGTTGCTGTCTGTGGTTTGGGGTGGTGTGGGTCGAACTTCGCTTATAAGAGTCATAAATTTTAAATTAACTACGACGGGCACCAAAACCCTGTTCCAATTTCTATGGCCGTGGTGTGCACGGTCTAGAGCCAGGGTCTATTAACCCTAAGCCCTAAAGCCATTTTGGCTCAAGCCGTTCGAGCAGGTCCCCGATACCACCCATCGCCCTTCTCTTCGCACGATGGCTCGCTCGTCGAGTGTCCTTGCAGGCGGCCTGCTGGGTGCCGCCTCCCTGGGAGGCCTGGCCTTCCTGGCACCCGGCCAGAGCCGACAGGTCGAGGTGCAGAGGGAGGTCGCTGTGGCTGCACAGGCCCCAGGCTTCTTGGCATCCACGTCCAGCACCGGCAGTGCTGCCCAGGGCGTCACGGGCGCCTTGGCCGTGGCCGGCTTGAGCGTCGCGGCCGTGAGAGGTGCATCTGCCGCATCCCGCCAGAAGGGCATCAAGCCTCGGGCGGCCAAGAGCGTCGTCGCCTGCAACTCATTGGCAAAGTTGAAGATTGACGAAGTGGACCTTAAGGACAAGCGCGTCTTCATCCGCGTTGACTTCAACGTGCCACAGGACAAGAAGGACCCGAACATCATCACGAACACGGCCCGAATCGATGCGGCCCTGCCCACCATCAAGTATGCCCTCGACAATGGTGCCAAGTCCGTGGTCCTGTGCTCGCACTTGGGCCGCCCCAACGGCCAGAAGGACGAGAAGTTCTCCATGAAGCCGGTGGCCAAGGTGGTCGAGGAGAAGTTGGGACGGCCTGTGAAGCTGATGAACGATGTCGTCGGCGAGGAGGTAGAGGCTGCCTGCGCCGACCCCGAGCCGGGCACCGTGATCCTGCTGGAGAACTCCCGATACTACGTCGAGGAGGAAAGCAAGGGCAAGGATGCTGATGGCAAAAAAGTTAAGGCCGACGCCGACCAGGTGAAGGAGTTCCGTGCATCTCTGGCCAAGCTGGCGGACATCTACTGCTCCGATGCTTTCGGCACTGCCCACCGTGCCCACAGCTCCATGGTCGGAGAGGGCTACCCCGTGAAGTGCTCTGGCTTCCTCCTGGCCAAGGAGCTCGACTACTTTGCCAAGGTGGTGGACGCGCCCACTCGGCCAGTGTGCGGCATCCTCGGCGGAGCGAAGGTCGCAGACAAGATCCAGCTGATCATGAACCTCTTGGACAAGGTTGACATCATGATTATCGGAGGAGGCATGGCTTTCACCTTCATCAAGGAGGCCGGTGTGGACATTGGCAACTCCCTCTACGACGAGGAGGGTGCCAAGCTGGTGCCGGAGATCAAGAAGAAGGCTGAGGAGAAGGGTGTGGAGCTCATCCTGCCCGTGGACTTCGTGTGCTCCTCCAAGTTCGGAGATGATGGCGAGATCAAGGAGGGCGACATGAGCACGGGTGTTCCCGAGGGCTTCTTGGGTCTCGACATTGGCCCAAAGTCCATCGCCATGAACGACGAGGCCATCAAGAAATCCAAGACGATCGTTTGGAACGGACCTATGGGCGTGTTCGAGATGGAGGCGTTTGAGAAGGGGACGAAGCAGATGATGGAGACCATCGTGGCAGTCACCAAGGAGGGCGCCGTCTCAGTCATCGGTGGAGGCGACACTGCGACTGCTTGCAAGAAGTACGACACCGTGGACAAGGTCTCCCACTGCAGCACCGGCGGAGGTGCATCTCTCGAGCTTCTGGAGGGCAAGCTCCTGCCCGGCGTGGCCGCTCTGGACGACTCCAAGGCCATGGCAGATGCTTAAACAAGTTTTGTCTTACCGGTGTAACTTTTTCCGAGCCTCAGCCCGTGTTCAGGCGGCCTCTGCAACTTTTAGATAGCGCAGGGGTTGTTTTCCGCAGATGCGGAGTGCACGTGGCATTTCGACAGTCATGTCCATTGAGCAGTTCGAAAATGGAGCCTACCCTCAGGCCGATGTGCTGTCGCCACGTACCCGAATCCTCGCCTAGGTTCGTCCGAGTGTGAGTGCTGAAACCCGAAACCATGGTTTCGGAGGTCATTCGTGTAGGGGTGAGGACCGTCCGTAGGCCCCAGCGCTTCTTCGCGGGAAGTGGTGCTTGGTATTTGGATATTTACATACTTTGGGTTCAGGGTTTAGGGTCCTCCTATGACGATTCTGGGACCCGGTTTCGGGCATTGGGTGTCTCGGGTCTGTTTCGGTTCCAGATGGTTTAAGGGTTGTCACGGTACGAAGAATGTGGAGCCACAAAAACCAAACGAGGTGAAGTTTGTCCCCCTTCCGAAGTTCACGTTCAGGCTTAGGTGGGCTCCAATGAGACCAGCGCTCCTTCAAAATGTTCCACAGCCGACTGGGTCCGAGTTTTCATCCTCTACCCTTCGATCTGCTCGTAGCCGACGCCCCAGACCCGAAACGCTCCCAACAAGGCAAGACTTCAGAGCGCAAATAATCAACCGCCGTGAGTCCAAAACCCCGACTCCTGCTTGAAGGAATATGGGGCAAGTGTTTCATTGGTGTTATCCGATTATCCTTCCTAGTCGTAACCTCGCTTTATGGCCTGTTTGCTGGGTGCCCTGGTCCTTGAAGGGCACCCTAAACCGGAAACTCTAAAACCTAAGCCCCAGCTGCAGAAGACTTACAGACTATGTAACCTTTGGGTCGGGCTTCTTTCCTCCAAGCCTCTAGCTACAAGCTCAGCCCATGTCAGGAACGCCACAGGAAGGACCCTATACCGTAAGCCTCAAACCCTACAATGCTCACCTTGCATCCTGAACCCTAAAATCCTCATGAGCCTTAAACTGAGGACAGTCAAGGCCCAACCTTCAACCCCAAGCTCCCAATTCAGGGAGCTTGGGGCAAGGCTCGAAATTTTCTGAACTCTGCCGAGAATGCCCTGCAGGATGCCAGGGGAACACCCCAAACCACGAAAGCAAGACGCCGAAAGCGTTCGGGGTTTAGGGTTCAGGGTTAGGGTTTAGGGTTTAGGGTATAGGGTTTAGGGGCCAGAGGCCAGATGATCGATCTCAACAAGCAACGCAGAGCTCGCAACAAGGAACCCAAGATACGGTTTCAACAGTATTCTTGTAGATCCTTCATGCAGAGAGAGGGCTCACATTTCCCACAATTAGATTCATAGATCTCGTGTGTTCGATTGCTGCTCGGGCATATGCTTGAGGTCGTGGTCCCATTGACGTCCCTGTCGAGCTCTCGGAAGTTCAAGTGCAAGACTATGGGTTTAAAACAGAAGCCACCATATTCATAGTTACCAATGTCATTCCTTAGCGTTCCATGTTATTCCCTAGAGTTCCTTATGAAACTTATGATGGGCCAATAAAGGGGCCCAGACCCTGTTCCAATCACAGGGCCCCTACGTTAGCATCAATGTTGAATAACGAATTTGAGCTCTCAGCCATCCTCACTCCAAAATCACGGATGGCGGTTGCGCCTATAAAACGTGCATGACTACACTAGACTAAACTGTTACCAGAAATCCTAGGGTTCTGTCGTCCCTGAGGGTCGAGGACTGAGGGTTTGGGATTGCTTGGCATCTAGCTCCAGGGTCCTGAACAATAAGCATGATTATCCCTTTATGATCTTTACGTAGCTATCGTATAATATACTCCACAGCCCCATTCTATTTGTCAAGGCCCCTATACGAAGCTTACCCTTATTAATGCCCTCTTTATCGCGCGGTCTCCTTGTTGCAGCTGAATTAGTGATGAAAGATGCACTCTTTGTTTAGGGGATTGCTTGCGAAGCTGTTCATCAACCAGTCGTAGTTGCAGCTGTCCTTCAAGCAAATGCAACCAGGGGTGGCCTGGCTCTTTATCCTTTGGGTCATCGGTACAATCGGCCGGCATGGAACCAGATGCAAGCAACCCTACACACTAAAGCGACCTCAACCTTCCGACCTTTAGGATTTCTGGAGCTACTTGCTGACGTTACCTTAGGGATACTCGCTTACTCTCCTCTTTGCATGTGGAGAAGGTCTCAGGCACTGCGATCGTTGGGAAGCACCAATCCTCAGAAAGCAGCCTTGAGCCGACCCTGGCAAAAACGAAACGAGCTACTCGAAGAGGGTTTAGGGTTTAGGGTTGAGGATCAGGGGCTGAGGTTATTACAAGCAGGTGAGCTGGATCATAAGGAAGTGTAGGTCTCGGTGAAAAAATTCCCGGGATGTATTTTTGCAGGGGCAGCCTTGGGAGTCAAAGCATTTCAGTCCCATCCTGCTCCCTCTTTCGACTAGGCCCTGAAACCCAAACCCAAGCTTTGCACAAATACAGGGTTTAGGGTTTAGGGCAAACCCTAAGGCCCTAAATCCTCAACCCTAAACCCGAGATAGTCAAAGTCACGCATGCAAGAAGACTCCCAGGCCCTCCCACAGAACACCCCGTTGAGCCCGGACGGATCCACGGGTTTAGGGTTTTAGGGGCTTAGGGTTCGGGGTTAGCTGTGCTGTGTTTCTGCGCTTTCCCGGCTGGCGAACAGAGTCCTGGATGCGAAAGGCTTCGGGGTTACGGTTACGGGTTTGGGTACTCTAGCTTGCACCCGCTCCCGACCAAGAAGTGCTCAAACATACGGCTTAAGCAACATGCCCTCAAGATGTGTCTGATCAGCGGAATCAGCGGCAGAGGATGCTGTCCTTTACTGTCTTCAAGGCCTCAAGGACGACCCTACCTAAACCCTAAACCGCACCCCAAACTGGCGCCAAGGATGCTTGGTATGTGGCGTTGGACCTTCCTGACCACTGGTGTCGTCAGGGTCTCGTGGAAGGCGCCATTGATTTCTTTTTTGTGTGCATGGCCATTTGTCAGCATGATTACCCGGCTCTCGCGCCATTGACCTCGTCTCGACATGTTCCGAGTGTGACCGCTGCAATCTCTGGAGCTTGCAAGCTGAGTTCCGGATTGTGCGAGTGTGAGAGAGCCCAGTCTACTGCCCAAACCATTCTAGAGTCAGAGTGTACATCGTAGTCGGACTGAGATGGTGGCTGGTTTGGCAAGTGGCCGCGCTGCATCATGCGATCTTCCACTGCCTGTCCTATGCTGTGGCAGGAGGGAGGCTACAGTCAGTGAAGGGAACGGTGGCGACGCCGACAACATCCTGGCAACAAAGCCGGAAGGCTTCCCGGTTGCCCTGATCGTGCTTCGCATGCTTACGACCGCTGTGCCTTTCGTCATGGTCGTCGTCATAACTGCCCTGGTCCATGGTGCCGCGGCCCTTGTCTGTTCTCCTGCCGAAGGGCATCGGATCAGGTCCATCATCTTGGTCTTCTGTACCATGGTGCCAGGTTGGGCAGCCGTATACCTATGCGCGAGGGCCTCCACAAGTCATGCTTGGTCCACGGCTGGCTTCCTCTTCTGCACCTGGGCCCTCGGACTCAAACTTGTAGTTGAGGCTTCTTGCAATTTCAACTCAGTCGCCATGAAAACAGCCTGGTCGGTCGTGAGCATGGCCATTGACGCCGTTCAGCAGACTTGGCTTGTCGCCCTTTCAGCTCATCGACTACACTCGCTGCAGAGATCTGCAGGGAACCAGTTCTTCCCAAACTTGATGGCGAGGGCGTATTGCGCAGCGGCGGGGTTTGTCCTTTTCACGATTGCTTTGGTCACCGTCAACGGCCTCAAGGACTTGTGGCTCCCGACAAAGGACATTGGCAGTTTTCTTGCGCCACATGTGCCGGCATTTTGCCTTCGGCACTTTGTCGCTGGTGTGGAAATCTTCCTTATTGGCGAGTTCGTCTTCCTTTTTACTTATGTCTGTCTGGGTTTCTCGTTGGTTGGGCTGGTTGTCGTGATGTGCCTTGTCGCGATCAAATTTTGCGTCGGCGTCCTGCTTGCCTATTGTCGGATCTTGGGACACTTAACTGCAGCAAGACGAGTGGCTGAGACGTCAAACTGCGGACGGAAGGTCAATGGCCTCCAGGCTTTGCAGAGGGGCGAGTGTGCACTTCGCAAGGAAATCTTTGGCTTCGCTCTGTGTTGCTTCTTGACCAGCCTCATTCAGGAACCGTTGGCCTACGTGTTCCAGACAGAACCCCTGGCTGTTCTTCTCATCATTTGTGGGAGGCTCCTGGGCTGCACAATGGGTGCTTGGTTCCTGTCCAACTCTTATCGTCTCTCCAAGCCTGCTGGCCTCCCTACCTTGCCTCGCCGCTGTGTGACGCGCAAATCTCCTCCACGACAGCGTCGGACAACGGATGCAGCCTGGCAGGCGAAGGTCGCAGAATTGTCGACGCGCGGCATCACAGCAAGGGAGTTGCTGGAGTTCTACAAGCAGCTGGGCAGCGGCACCATGCCACACTACAGTGCAGGCATGCACACCACCGGCGATGTGGTGCGACAAGGCATCATCCCGATTACCAGGTCCGGGCGTTGCTCCTATGCCGAGGTGCAGGGTCGTTTTAAACACGTTTAGGTTTAAACGGTTTAAACTTAAACGTGTTTAGCCAGTGGGTGGATGTTTGTTTATTTGTTTAAAACTCTGTCGTCGCATTGAGATGTTTAAACCATGGTTTGAACATCTGAAGAACGGCGTTTAAACATGCTTAAACACGCTTGTGCTAACACCAGTTTCAAGCACATTCGGAATGTGTGTCACCGGGGATTAAACACGTGCTTTAACATGGGCTTAAACACATTCGGGATGTGTGTCATGCAGGGAACTGTTTAAACATGTGTTTAAACATGGGTTTAAACACATTCGGCATGTGCGGCAGTCAGGCAACTCTTTAAACATGTGTTTAGAGATGGGTTTGATTTAAACACATTCGGGGCACTCAGGGAAGTGTTTAAACATGGGTTTAAACACATTCAGGATGTGTGTCATGCAGGGACCTGTTTAAACATGGGTTTAAACACATTCGGGATGTTTGTCATACAGGGACCTGTTTAAACACATTCGGCATGTGCGGCAGTCAGGCAACTCTTTAAACTTTAAACATGTGTTTAGAGGCGGGTTTGATGTAAACACATTCGGGGCCCTCAGGGAACTGTTTAAACATGTGTTTAAACATGGGTTTAAACACATTCGGCTAGGAGTCTGGGAGTCCACGGCTTCGGGCTCAGGGTGTACAAAGGCCCCAGGCCCAGCATTACTGTAGGCCTGCCCCCAACCTCGCCCTAGGCGTAGGTCCACACGATCAGCCTCGTGTTTGATGCAACCTGGTGTAGACATGTTTGAACATGGCTAATGAGAGGATTCTATGAATGCGTTCAAACACGTATGTTTAAACATTTCGCATGATGTTTAGTTTAATGGGTTTACACATGTTTAAACTGTTTAAACATGACTCGTCAGAGGGTTCTCTCGGTTTAAACATTTGGCGTTTAAACATCGGTGGTTTAAACAGTTTAAACATAACCCCCTGCCCAACCCTGCCGAGGTGACAGGCAGAGAGCCCCTGAGACCGGCCAAAATGGTCACACACTCCTGGCGGAGCCTCTTCAGAGACCTGGTGGCTG